CAATGCCAAACTGTATACGCGCAATCGCTCAATGCCAAAGTATACTTTCATACTGGGTTCATTGAAGAACGAGGCATGATGAGAATATATATATATTGTATCATGATGCATGAATATTCTATACAACCGTATAGAATATTCACTGATATGGCTTATTTAGGATTTTATCACCATACAAGTGTTTAACCGATATATAAGGGAGCACTCGTTAAATGATAAAGACATACATGCAAGCTTCAGTGAAGCTAGCAATGGCAAACTGTATACGCGCAATCGCTCAATGCCAAAGTATACTTGCAGAGTGGTTTTTGAAGAACGAGGCATGATCAGAATATATATATATATTGTATGATGCATGAATATTCTTTACAATCGTATAGAATATTCACTGATATGGCTTATTTAGGATTTTATCCCCATGCATGCAAGTGTTTAAGCACTCGGTAAATATAAAGATATACAAGCTTCAGTGAAGCTAGCAATACCAAACTGTATACGCGCAATCCGGCGTTATACATGCAAGCTTCAGTGAATCTAGCAATGCCAAATTGTATACGCGCAATCGCTCAATGCCAAAGTATACTTGCAGAGTGGTTTTTGAAGAACGAGGCATGATCACAATATATAGATATATATCGTATGATGCATGAATATTCTATACAGTCGTATAGAATATTCACTGATATGACTTTATATAAAGATACCAAATTCAATAAAGCAAAAAATGCCGAAGTATAAGTATACTTGTAGACTGCATTTTTGAAGAACATGTAGGCATGAATATATATTACGGCAGGGCTTACAGGAAAGGTAAATTCAGAAGATATGATACCCGATACTATTTTTGCCTTTTTACGACTCGTCGGTAAATATAAAGATATACAAGCTTCAGTGAAGTAGCAATGCCAAATTGTATACGCGCAATCGCTCAATGCCAAAGTATAGTTGCAGAGTGGTTTTTGAAGAACGAGGCATGATCACAATATACAGATATTGTATGATGCATGAATATTCTATACAACCGTATAGAATATTCACTGACATGGCTTATTTAGGATTTTATCACCAGACATGCAAGTGTTTTACCGATATATAAAGGAGCACTCGGGAAATATAAAGATATACAAGCTTCAGTGAAGCTAGAGTGAAGCTAGCAATGCCAAACATACTGCATACGCGCAATCGCTCAATGCCAATTGTAGACTGCATTTTTGAAGAACAGGCATCAATATATATTACGGCAGGGATTATACAGGAAAGATAAATTCAGAAGATATGATACCCGATACTATTTTTGCCTTTTTACGACTCGTCACGAAATTCGTGAACCACATCAGCACAACATCATATGAAGACTAGGCATTGCAAACTTCATGTAAGCAAGTTCGTAAATTCAGAAGAGATGATACCCGGTACTATTTTTGCGTTTTTACAACTCGTGACGAAATTCGTGACGAGTTATATCGACTTGTACCTTGCGATGGATTTCACGACTCGTCACAACTTGTAACGAGTCGTGAAATGCGGGAGTATTGGACATGTATGCCATGCATGCATGCGTTATACAACGAAAAATAACTTCGCCACACCGATCATATACTGCTAACAAAGCGATAATATAACTGCCCAAGGGGCAAAAATCTTAACTAGACCCACAAAAAACACGCTACAATACAGACAAATACCAATATGAATAAAAGAATCACGTCCAAGTCCAAGTTTGATGCCTGAAGCTGTTCATTTTCAATTGGATCATTCACCGGCGAAACTGGTTCATTCTGAGGCGGAGCGGAATCAAGATCAATCGGTTGGGCAACAGCATTAAGTCGCAAGTACCGCTTCTTGTAACGTGCAAGGAGGTCGAACAGGCGTGGAGCCATACTGTAAAGTCCGTAAATTTCTTTATCTTGCACTTTTCTGTCTTGGCGATCAGCACAGAAAGAGCAGTTACAACCTGTAAACTAGGGTTTTATGCATTGTACATCATTATTTATTCATAAAACAACGTTAATTACTCAAATTCCATTAGTTAATCAGCTTCCGCGGCGTGTTTGGCCAATTTGAATAGTGCTTTTTTTCCCGAAGTTAGTTTTAGTGTAATTCTTTGAAAATATCAAAAGGAAATGCCCGAACAAGTTAACTAGCTACTCACTACATCCACGAGCATCCCTGCGGTTCAATCAGTAAGTCAACAGTGTCTAATCCAGCTGTTATTTCCTCGGCAGTTCGGGGTTGTTGTCGCCTGCATCGCGTTCGCTAGTGTTGCCTGCCATTCGCACTATCTGGCCGCGGTGTCTTCCTCGTCAGCCTCGAGTCCCCCTTCCTTTCCTCAGAATGTTATGGCAGCACCTACGAGTCCATTTACTCTACGTTTACCGGCTTCATCAGCTCAGCATGGTGGCCATCCGTCGGCATATGTCAATTCGCCGTATTTTTATTCGCTATGTGCATATCTTCGTTCGTCCCAGTGATCGATTCACATTAAGGTTTGCTATATTCACAGTCCGTTTGTGTTCGCATTGATTCGCTATTTGCATGTATTCGTTCTTCGCAGGAATTCGCATTTACAGATAGATAAGTAGATGTTTTAATCATACCATGCAACATTGCAGCATAGGCTAGGCGGAATTGCATTTATGTGTACATGCAAATGTTTAGATTAAGTTCGCATTGTTCAACAATTGCTTTTGTTTATTAAGCTAAAAATTCTTCTACTATCCAAAAAAGATAGTTAGATTTTCTGAAATTCAAAAATTGGCTCGCTATATTCGCATGTTTTTGTTCTTCGCCGTTACCGCATTAATGTTATTTGCTTTACTTTGAATTGAGTTGCTATTACACTATTTTCAACACTGATTACAATGACTAAGATGTTGTACTATTTATCAGTTCTAAAAAATAAGGTAAAAAGAATAAGACCTTTGACTTTGTATCAAGCATTAACCTGACAATTCTCTATACTTAGTCTTAGCTCTATATTGTTCTAGCATGCTTCGCGTCATGCAGATCGTTTTTTAAAAGTTTCGTTCAATTTTCACTTTTTGTACTTAATGTCCAGATCGTTCCAGAGTGTAACTCCTCCATAATGGAAAGACTTTTGACCAGCAGAAGTTTTATACAATGGTCTTTGCATTGAGTTTTGCTGTGCTGGCAGGCCCGCGTGTATCTTGTTGATGAATTTCAGAACGTTACGTAAATAACTCGCTCAAGCCAGCCTATAGCTAGTCCCGGGCTGTCGCGCTGACCGCTGCTTTGTTATGTGTTATAAGTAAGTTTTATGCCTGCCCTGGGTGTGCTGTTCCGAGCGCTTCAAGTTGAGTTCCCGTAGCCTTGCCGAAATATGGTCGAATTTTCCATTATTTGTTATTATCTTGCACGGGAAAATTGTCGTTTCTTCATTATAAGCAGACGAAGTGTTTACCCACGCCATTGAACAATCAAACATTTTTTTTTCATTACAATTGCTGAGACAATCAGATGGCTTCGTTCTTCACAGTGATTCGCATTAATGTTATATTCGCATTCCGTCGGTGTTCGCCTTGAATCAATATCGCTATTCGCATGTTGTCGTTCTTCGCAGTGATTCGCATTCCCCCATGTTATACATGTTATACATTCTCTTCCGGTAATCATGGCAGCAACACGACAAAAATTTTGTCCTGCTGCCGGTTAGCTTTTTACAATATTTACAAGGTTTCTTGTCATAAATATGAGTTTACAAGACTCAGTCATGGAAAGCGAAATCTCAGAAAACGAGCAGTCAAATATTCATGACGACGCGCAGCACTTAAGTGAAGTTATAAAGCAAGAGCGCTTTGAAACCGCAAAGTCATTGAAACGTGAAATATGCATCCAATGTCATGATAAAATTCGTTTTGATAATTGGCTAAAATGCTTGAAACTGCGATATTGGATTGACTTCGGGAATCAGGATAAGTACAACGTAAATTGGAAACAGAAACTCAATTTGGAAGGCAACTTAGTCGATATTATTATTACGTTATGCTCAGTGGCGAAGCCAGATGTCCTGCTTGTCCTGCCGCTGAGCATGACATACAAAATTTCAGATAATGAATTTTTTACGCATATAATTTTTGAAAGAAAACACTTTTATCCCGCTTGACATATGTTCTTACATTTTCTTAACTCAGCACGTTGCGCAAAAATTCTTAAACAGAGAAATTCATTAGTATAGGTAATAGCATGGTTTCGAGTGCAATTTGGATATAACACGCACGAGTGAGTTTTTCAAAGACCTCAAAATAGCACGAGTCCGAAGGATGAGTGCTATTTGAGGTCTTTGAAAAACTCACGAGTGCATGTTTATCCAAATTTCACGAGAAACCATGCTATTACTTATTAATAATTTACATAAAAATGTTCGAGACAATTGTAGTTTTAACTTACGCGTTTATAGCGAACATTCCACCGGCAAACTTTTCCTGGCTTTGTTATATCACATTATACAACGCTAACAGCTTGAAAATTCCACTCAACTATGTAATTTTTGTTAGTCTTGTTTAAGGTAAATGCTTTTCCATTTAAAAATAAAGATAAAAGCTATATTTTCCACGCGAAGGCAACTTTTACTTTACTGTAGCGCGGCGCCATGTTTGTTTTGTTTTGAAGCAATCTGTGACCGTTACTTCTTTAAACTAAATTGCTTTAAACTGATTGGTTGATTTAATCATCACAATGTTTTTCCACCAATCAGATCAGTTTGTTACAGATTTTTGCACTATGATTACAGAAAATTGCACTGTGATTACAAAAAATTGCACTGTGATTACAAAAAATTGCACTGTGATTACAGAAAATTGCACTGTGATTACAGAAAATTGCACTGCTGTTTGGGATTAACTGCACTGAAATCAACCAATCACAGTCGAGTAATATCTTTATGTATATTATTATGTAAGTTAACATTATTACCTCGGGTCGGGACGACACCGAGGTCATAAATTCGGCTCCTATTTTTTTTTTTTTTTCCATTTGTGTCGAGCCGCGCGCGTAGTTGAAGAGCCTGCGGAGGAGACGACAACTTCCGGTAAATAAGTGTACTTCCGGATTATTTCAAGCATCGGCCAAAGCGAAACGGAACCCGAAGCTGTCCTTGCACAAAATCCGTCAAAATTTTTTATTTAAAACCAGAAGATGTGATAATGTTGACATAGATGTTTAGCTGGATAACTATTCTCGAGTATATGTTGATATAATGCACAATACTTCGTATGCATAGCATGGGAATACCGCGGCCAACTTTCACTTGTTATCTATTATAATTACTGACCCGAATCAAAAGTAATTATTTTCGGCTGGAAGACTAATATACGTTGCTGCTTGTCGGGATCGTATGACAATGAACCTATCCAACGTTACACTAGACATTTGTGAGGACATGCATATAGACATAACCATAGGCACTGTAGTGCATTGTGATAGAACAGATTTCAGTTTAATTAATCGCCCTAAATTAAAATCTCCACAAGTGGAGGTCAATTATAGTGTTTTAGTTTACATATTATCATTAATGATAAGGTTTACTCAAATAGCGTATTGGATAAACACAGGAATAGAACTTATGGTGTATTCTGCACATGCGTATATCTAGGATAAAATCCCACAAGCGCAAACGAAACTATTTCTCTATAAAATTGAACTGAAAAGACTCACAGCGACCGTTTCCAACAGTGCTTCAGGCACCCGACGACACCGTATGGGGGGCCTTTAGCACTGTCACCTTCTCATCTTGGGATGTTCACGTTATCGCGTGTACATGTCAGGGTGACGAAGATGCATTATTGCTAATAATGTCTGTGTGCACTGATGCACGCTGCATTATTTTTAATAATGTTGTGTGCTATTTTAACGCGTACATAGAATATGACGCGTATAAACATTTACCCCTGAGCCGGAATTTCCCTATACAACCAAAAAGGCCGCTCCCATTTTTCAGTAGAACGTTAAATGAAAACTTCGCGACATTCGCTGATATAATGCAGAGAGAAAACAATAGGTTTGATGAGGGCCAGTAATTATTATCAATAAAATATTAAAACGGAGCTTTGATTAACTGATTCACCATTTATACTAGTGAACTATTAAACTATCGTGATTTACACAATTTTTGGATATTTACCAGACGATCCCCTATCCACCGACCCGAGGTTAACGCCGAGTCGGCGTCTTGTTTAACTTATTTTGAATGAATATCGAGACTTTGCCTGCATGCAGGCAAAAGCAGGAAAAATGGGTGGCTTGCCCGAAGTTTAGTCCAGCTCAACTCAGGCGAGCAGGACAAACGTAAAATTCTAACGCATTTCATTGGCTAAAACAGCTCTCAAGAATGCAAAACACGCAAAAATATGCCTTTTACTCCTGCTCGAGCTTCGACGCATGATAAACCTTCGAATATTCTTCTGAATTATTCATCTTCCGGTGGCGAAATAGATTTATGAATATGTAAATTAATCCTATTCAACCAAGCGTGTGTGAAAGTACACGAGATGTTATTTTGGATCTCTTACAAAGGTCTTTTAGTTCCAGTAGCAAATCTTTGAGAATCTACGCAATATATACAGTAGATTGATGTTATGCATTACGGGCATTCAATCAAGTTATTCAAGTATAGAGCTAGGATGGAGTGAGACAGTGTTGTTTTCAAATATATAAACATTTCAAACATGAATATTGAGAAAATCTTTGAGATTCTACGCAATATATAAATTGATGTTATGTATTACCGACATTATTTAGACCGTATAGTTATACATCGACTGTATAAGGTGCTACACCACAGATTTATGCGCACTGTCACGGACCTTGTTTACATGTCTAGCACTGTAGCACAACGCCAACGGCGCAAACTTATGTTCAGTGCAACGAGAACTCTATCAGATCTTGCGAGAATCTATCTGTATCAAAGCTTGTCAAAACTGTAAACACTGCTATAACTGTGAAAATATTGAAATCTAAAGTGACATTATTGAATACATGCGAACATTGGGAATAATAAATCAAAGGTCAATGAGACTTGTTCTGCCTCGTCCCCAGTCGCTTATTAATCAGGAGAAATGAAAAAAACGAATAATCAGGAGAAATGAAAAAAACGAATAATTAAGAGGAAAACGAATAATGCGCGCTCGTCCTTAGTTGCGGGCGTGCGCCTTTATCGGGCTTGCAGTGCACGCGCTGAACTATATATTACTGATATTTAAATACGTTGATCTCAGTTAAATTTGATCTACATAGAGGAGCCTGTGGAGGAGGCAGCAAAGTCACTCAACTTAAACGATAGTAACATAATACCTACCATTGATCTATGTCAGCATTGTTTAGCTGATACTTTACCATTTCAAACACTTGATGAATTAGAATTTGAATTTACTATGAACGGAAATAATATCAGTGAAGACGATATGGATAGACTAAGACATCTGAAATTCAACCCTTTCGACACGAATAACAACATTGCGATGTCCGAAAATAACGCAAATCTCGATTAATCGATTAAAATAAACTCAGTGAATATTATACTCCTGGTGATCTCCATAAACAAACAAATAAAGCAAATCTAAATAATACGAATAGTTTTTCGATGATTAACCTAAATATTAGAAGTATACTTAATAACCTATTGAATTCATTAAATAACCAGTTTCAGATAATAGGTTTAACCGAAACGTGGCTAAATGATAATAACGACGACCTCTTCAAACTAGATAATTATGATTTTGTAAATGTAAACAGATCTAATAAAATTGGAGGAGGTGTAGGAATTTATATCATAAACCAAATTAAATATAAACTACGCACGGATTTAAACACAAATATTGAAAATGTAATTGAATCCGTTTTTATTGAGATAATAACAGCTGTTGGGAAAAATATAATAGTCGGTCTAATATACAGACCACCAAATAATAAAATTGATTTGTTTGAAAATAATGTGAATAACATTCTAGGGAAAATAGACAAAGAAAATAAAATATGCTACCTTATGGGGGATTTCAATATTGATCTATTAAAATCAGAGTCTTGTGATTATACTAATAGGTTTCTTGAACAACTGTTCACGTCATCGTATATGCCTCTTATACTGAGACCAACGCGAATAACTCACCATACAGCTACACTAATAGACAATATTTTTACTAATGATATGGAAACTATAGAATCGAGCACAAATGGGATACTTTTTTGTGACATCTCTGATCACTTACCAGTATTTCATATACGCGAATTTAAAGATCAACAACATAAGACTAAGCCAGAAATGGAAATTATTAATAAAAGGATCATCAATGATTCCAATATTAAATCATTTGGTAATACAATTAAAACTACATCATGGGAGGATGTAATTTCCAACAGTAACACTGCCGAGTCGTATAACGAATTCTTCAATAAATTCTCTACAGCCTGTGAAAAAAATTTCCCATTAACAAAAAAAGTATCAAAAAGGAAATTTGACAAAAGTAAAAGTCCATGGATGACAAAATGCATTGCAAAATCAGTTCAAAAAAAGAACAAACTTTAATAAAAAATGAGATTATATTCAAAAAATATAAAAATAAATTGAATCATGTAATAAAAATAGCAAAAAAGAAATATTATGAAGAACTACTAATAAACTAAATACAAGCATAACACAAAATGCTTATGGAAAACAATTAACGAAATTATGAATAAACATAGAAACAATAGAATTTTACCAAAGGAATTCAACGGAGACTCTTCAGATGAAATCATTGATGATCCGTACAAAATAGCAAATAAATTCAACGAGTATTTTGTAAATATTGGACCAGGTCTAGCAAAAAAACTTCCAGACAGTGAAATAACCTTTGACAAATATCTGACTAATAAGAATAATAATAATTTTTTTATTGAGCCAGTAACAAAATATGAAATCGAAATTGAAATACAAAACTTAAATTCTAAAAAAAGTCCAGGCTATGATGGTATAAGTTCACAAGTTATTAAGACAATTGCTAAGGAAATTTCTGAACCCCTGTCACACATATTCAACTTGACTTTCCTTAGTGGAACTATTCCTAATGGCCTAAAAATAGCTCTAGTTACCCCCAATTTACAAAGCAAATCAAAAAAATGAATTCAAAAATTATCGACCAATTTCTGTACTCTCTTGTTTTTCTAAATTACTAGACTAAAAACTAATGTATAAGAGATTAATTAAGTTCATTGAAAAAAATAAATTATTAACACATAGTCAGTATGGTTTTAGAAAAAATAGATCCACCGAGCATGCAGTCATTAAACTTGTTGACAAAGTTAGTAAAGCAATCGATAAAGGTGAATACACTATAGGGATCTTTCTTGACTTGTCAAAGGCCTTTGACACTATTAATCACAAGATTCTGATTCAAAACTGGAACACGATGGTATGCGGGGAATAACACAACTATGGTTTAAAGATTATTTGGAAAATAGAAAACAAATAGTGAAATATGATCAAGTTAGGTCAAATGAAATGGTGATTAGAAGTGGGGTTCCACAGGGATCAATTCTTGGACCAATTCTATTTTTGCTTTACATAAATGATATTGAACAGTGCAGCAAATTACGTTCATTCATATTATTTGCTGACGACACTAATATATTTTATAGCAACAGCTGTCTTAAATCGCTTAATGTAATCATACAAACTGAAATTAACAAAGTTACAGAATGGTTAAACGTCAATAAATTATCTCTAAATATCCGAAAGACAAAATTAATTTTATTTAGATCTACTAACAAAAAACCAAAACATGAAATTCAAACTATTATGAATGATGTAAATGTAGAACAAGTTAAAAGTACAACATTTCTTGGTATCATCATTGATGAATGTCTGACATGGAATGATCATATAACTAATGTTTCAAAAAAACTCTTGAAAGCGTCCGGAATAATAGCTAAAATTAGAGATTTCTTAAATCGAAATGCTATCAAACTAATTTATTATGCATTAGTCTATCCATATCTGATTTATGGCAATTTAATTTGGGGTAGCAGTCGTAGCACATACAAAACCCGAATTAATAAAATAATGAATATCCAGAAAAAAATTGTACGTCTAATGACATTTAAGTCGTACGTGGAACACACTGAGGCTATATTAATCAGTGGACGGTTCCGGCAATTCTAAAATTGGGAAAATTCTGAAAGTTGAAAGTTAAACTTGCAGCAAATCTATCTTTCGACTCACATATTTCTTATCGATAACAGAAAATTCCATATCCTTTTCGATGTCATAAATTATTTTTGTAAAATGTCTAAAAGCCCCCACCTTATTTCTCATAAAAGGGTAC